GTTGTTGTGAAAGATATTGCCCTGCAAATTACTCTTTAAGTGGGTCTATCTGCAAGACCTCCTCCCTCTTATCAGCAAAGATGATTGAAAGAATGAACTGTTTGAAAATATCTGATGGGGTCGAAGGAAATCCAGAGTAACCTTAAGCACCGAGGGGAGTAGTTCCTGAGCACTATTCAGTATGTTCAATATGATTCCCCACTCTTCTTTTTAAGTCCCCCTCAAAAAGAAAGTGGTGTGAGGAAGATAGTTTACTGGACTGAGAGGAAGCTTTGCAAGCAAGAGGCCCAGGCCAGATTTTCAACGCTGCACGGTCTCCAGGGCACAGCTGGGTGTCGTTACCAAGCACTGCTAGTTGTGGTCCAAATTCCGAAACAAAAAATAAAGAACTACGATTAGTGGGAGAAAGTTTGTAAAATATGAATTTCAACCCTCATGAATTTAAAGGATTTAAGACTTCAGCGAAGGAAGTCACTGCAGATGTGGTGGAAACGACAAGAGAACTAGAATGAGAAGTGGAGCCTCAAGAGGTGAGGGATTTGTTGCAGTCTCCTAATCAAAATTCAGACGGGTGAAGAACTGCTTATTGTGAAGGAAGTGGCTCCTGTAGGTAGAATCTATTCTTGGTGAAGATGCTGTGAGCACTTGAAAAAAACAAGGATTCAGAACAGGAAATACACTTAAGTTGATAAGGCGGTGTGGATTTGAAAGGACTGATTTCGTTTTTTTTTTTTTTTTTTTTTTTTTTTTTTTTTGCTTTTGTGTCACACCCAGCAGTGTAGGAGCCTTCTGGAAGACCCATGTGGTGCCTGCAGTGCCAAGGACAGAACCAGAGTTGGCTGCCTACGAAGTAAGCTTCTTAAGCTTGTATTACTTCTCCTGCTCTCCTGCCTTGACTACAGTACTGAAAGAAGTTTTAGTCTGAGTGAAATCCTATCATTATTGAATGCTACAAGAAAAGATTTGGTCCAAGGAAGAGTTAGTCAGCCTGGTACACTTTGTTGGTGTCTAATTTAAGAGATTGCCAGAGCTACCCCAGCTTTCAGCAACTCAGCCAGCAGTTATCAACAAGGTGGCAAACACAAATAAATGCATAATCAGCCACATTCTTCTGATGGTATCATGGTGCAAGTTGTGTGTGGGGGGTAAGCAGGCAATCTATTTAATTCAATTGGTCATTTTTGAATCTCTCCTACACGAGGGGCAGCCAGTCAGACAGAAGATGGAACTGCTAAGGGTAGGGAACAGGAACGCTTAAAAGGGGGAAACAGATTATCAACATCCTTTTGGATCTCACACTTGCACCCAGATGAACGGCAGCCTCTTGTTGTGCCAGGAAGCAGTGGGCAGAAAAATCAAGGGAAAACAAAGGGACAAAGAGCAGTTAGAACCATCAAGGAGAGGTGGATCCCAAAACATCAGTGATATACTAGGAGGACATCGCAAGACAGAAGGGGACATACCAGGGATATTGCAGAGGGAGCCAGAGTCACTGACATGAAGGGACAAACCATCTGGAAACACAGGACAATGTGGGCCCAAAAAGACTTTCTTAAAGCTGTTAAATAACTATAACTTCATAAGCAGCCAGGATTTTATATGGTAATTTTGCATAAGAACTTAAGGACCTGGGTAAGAACGAGATATTTCATGGTAGCAGTATGTTGGCTCTCTGTGAATGAGGCAACTGGGGAAGGAGAGTCTGTCACAGACAATGTCTGAACTAAATATTCTTCAAGGATCCCCCCAGGATGGTAGATGCATGCTGAAAGTAGACTACAGACCAAACATGATTTCCACTCAATGCCTCTTTTGCAAACCACAGCACCCCAAAGGAGAGAGAGAACAAAAAGGAATGCCCTGTGACAGAGGCAGGGTAGAATGGGGGGAATGGGGGGTGGGAGGGATACTGGTATCAGTGGTGGTAGAAAATGGGCACCGGTGGAGGGATGAGTATGCGAACATTGTATAATTGAAACCTAAGCACACAAATTTGTAAGTCTAGCACAGCGGGTAGGGCGTTAGCCTTACAAGCGGCCAACATGGCCGACCCGAGTTCGATTCCTCCGCCCCTCTCGGAGAGCCCGGCAAGCTACTGAGAGTATTCGATATGCCAGACACAGTAACAACAAAGTCTCCAATGGAGACGTTACTGGGCCTGCTCGAGCAAATCGATGATCAACGGGAGGGCCTTTACCTTTACCTTTACCTTTACCACTGTACCTCAAGGTGTTTCACTAATAAAAATTAAAAAAAAATTCTCTAAAAGATGCACATCCCCTGCACAGAAGCCCCATATTCAGTATCCACCTTTGCCACCATCTGGATTTAAAAACAAAGTATTAGCTGACTATGGGCTTCAATGATTTATTTTCTAAAAAGGATAAACAGACAGTATTAGTTAACTACAGGTTTCAATGGCCTACCACATAATAATGCAGCCTCCAAAAATGAAGTGAAGAGAATTTTCCAATCAAATTTCCCATTCTCATACCAACCATTTTCTAATTTGGTTTTGAAGGTGTTTTGGGGATAGTATTTTAAGTTTATTAATCTACCCTAGTAAAAATTATTTCCCCAACCTACCCCAAACAACCCACCACCATCACCACCAACACTCTACAGGATTTAATCTCTCCAAGGAACATTTATTTTCAGAGAGGAAATTGTTAGACTGCATTGGACTGCCAAAGATAGCTTGAAAAAATGGGTCATGCTTTCATCCCCATTCTGGGACATAAGCTGCCAAACAGTTCACTGCTCATTTTTGTCCTCTTCTCGTAAACAAGCAGCATTAACAAGCTACTCTTTAAAAGCATACTAATTCCCCCCGTGAATTGCACAGGAAAGAATCCAGCATTCCCGACAGAGAACTCAAATAGTTGTTTGTTCTCAGAGCTCAGGTGCGGTGGAATAGCTGCCGGCTACAAAAGCACGCTGGGCACTGGCCAGCAGGCTGGAGTTCCTCACATTGGTGTGCAACTCACAGCCTGCCTAATGGGTAAAAAAAATAAAGACTCGATTTTCAATTTCAATTTAATTATACAATCTATATTGCCTAGTGGGAAGGATTTAGGGGGCAAGATTAATGCTTAACAGTGCTCCATTTTACATTCCTTTCTGATAATTGTATTGATTATCCAAAGTGAGTTTTTAAAAGTGTTTCTCAAAAGCCATATTCTTCTGGTGGCAGAATTATTTAAAGAAGGAGGGTCACTTCATTTCCTGACTCCTTGTCAGAGAGATAAGATGCCTCTTCGACTTGTAGAGCCGGTGCTTTCTAGAGGATGGGAAGCACCTCCCTCCTAAAAGAATAGAAATTCCACCATGGAATTGGAAACACAGGCTGGTAGACATGGAAACAAAAAACCCTTTGTTTTGGTTTTGGTCTGGGTGTCACACCTGGTGGTGCTGAGGGTTTAACTCCTGGCTCTGTGTTTAGGCATTACTCCTGACCAGCCCTGATTATGTGGTGCCAGGGATTGAACCTGGGTTGGGGATGTGTAAGGTATGAGTCTTCCCCACTGCACTATTTTCCAGCCCTGGAAGACACTGATTAAACAAAACAGTGGTTCTGGGAATGACTGTATCAGTAACATAAAAATCTTTGATGATGTTGAAGTCTGAACATTTTCATTCTTCTGTTTGAACTACAAACCATTATGATTTTTACCTGGCATCAAATCAATGTTTACATTTGTTAGTAAATACGTTTTGAGCATTCCATTTGGTGTCTACATGCTCTGCTTGTCCTCAAATATATATAAAAAAAGAAAACAGGGCTGGAGCGAAGTACAGAGGATAGGGTGCTTGCCTTGTATGCAGTCTACCTGGGTTCTATTCCCAGTATCCCATATGGTTAGTGCAGAGTAATCCCTGAGCATGCCCAGTGTGCCCCTCCAAAAGAAATACAATTAAAGAAATGAGTATTTTATGCTTTAACATGTCAGCTTGTTGAAATGTATCTCTTTCTAAGAAGTATTCCTTATGAGATTTAAATGAATAACAATGCCACAGAACTTTAGCAATTAGCTGTTGCTTGGCTTTTCTGGACCACTAGAGTACTTATCTTTTTAATTTTTTTAAATACAATATTGTAATTGTTTTCTGCAATAATTGAAAGTGCATGCGGTGATGGGTACTGAACCCAGGTCACCTGCATTCAACACACTACACTGGCTTAGCTCACTGAACTGCATGTCTATTCCCTACCCCCACGCCAAGTTAACTACTTCTAAATTTGATGAGTTTACAATGCCTTTGGGATAGATGACATAAAACTAGAACTTAATTTCTGTTAAACTTCTGTAAAACAGGTCTTAACTGTTCAGGAGGGAGAGACATTTATTTGGGCATATTAAAATTTGGGTGTGTAAAAACACACCCAAACAGGGTTAAGGGACAAGTAGATAAAAGTATTCCTGGGAAGCCAGGATAGGGTCGGTGCAGAGTCAGATACACTCAGAGGGAAGGCAGAATTGGCAGAGCTCTAACTTCCCATTGTTTTCCAGCTTTGGAGAGAATGGTGTGTTGTAGAGAGAAAGAAACTGCCATCGGGTACAAGAAAAGTATATATGATCACTTTCACTGTCACTGTCCTCCTGTTGTTCATCGATTTGCTCAAGCGGGCCCAGTAATGTCTCCATCGTGAGACTTTGTTGTTACTGTGTTTAGCATATCTAATATGTCACAGGGAGCTTGCCAGGCTTTGCCTTGAGGGCGAGATGCTCTGGGTAGCTTGCTGGGCTCTCTGAGAGGGGCGGAGGAATAGAACTCGGCTCGGCCATGTTGGCTGCGTGCAAGGCAAACGCCCTACCTGCCGTGTTATCGCTCCAGCCCATATATAATCATACCACAAAATTTATTTTTTTCTTGGAACCAATAACATGCATATTGTGTATATCTAATAATTAGCAATGCCTTGTTTTAAAAAATATTTACAATATCTTAATCATTAGCAGTTAAAGCAAAATTCTGTATTATAAGATGTGAGAAAATACCTGGTTGATGATGTGATCCTGGATCTTTTCTTTAGTCACTGAAAAAGGAAGAAAATAGAAATTTAACATCACAGTATTAAAATGAATTGAAGGCAGTGCTGATCTTTCGCTGTTCTCGCTCTGAACTCCAAATTCCAAGAGCACCCACAGGCTTTCGGAGCAAGGATCTGTATGATATGATGAAAATTTACAACCACTCCAATACTTGGCATGAAAAATCAAGTCAAAGCCTAAATAAAACCCACTGGGCAAAGAAAACAGAAAGCAGAGTGGAAATTGAGGAAGAGTGATATTAACTGTATTAAACCTCGACAGAGAAATGGTGAAGAGATGAATAAAAGCCCATCAGAGGTTTCCCAACAATGACAACTTGGGTCAGTATGATACTAACTCTGAGCTCACAGAACCTTTAGGACTGGACAAGGAGACTTATGGTATAAGGAAGCAGAAGGGACACTTTAAAAGTCTTTTCTCTCACCTATGAAAATGCTAAAGATATTCCAATATTCAGCAGAGTGTCCTGCCCCCGCGCCTGGCTGTCCTCGCCGGGGCCCCTTGGAGGGGAGTGGATTGAGTTTCCCTCCCCGCCCCGACCAGAGTTCTGGCAGCCGAAGACCTCCAGAAGCAGCCACCACCATGGTGAGATCACTCTCCACACACATGAAAGTACCGGCAGAGGAACAAAGGCATGAGGGTCCCTGGGCTGAGATCTCCAAGCCTGCTCGGATCAGGGCTGAGCATCCTCCACCCAGATCCTCCAAATTCCAGTAGGCGGGGGGTCACACCCACCAACTGGCCCTCTGGCGCCATGTAATCCGATCAACGGCCAAGACCCAGAGACTATAAAACCCAGCTCCCGGAAGCGCGGCCGCATTTGCAGCTCCGAGACATTTTATTATCTCATTCCTACTTTGGACAGACTGGCAGGCTACTGAATGTTATATGCCCACATGGCAGAGTCTGGCAAACTCCCCGTGGCGTACCCAATATGCCAAATACCAGTAACAATGATGTGTCTCATTCTCCTAACTCTGAAAGAGCCTTGAATATGGCACTTTTTAAAAAATCTCAGGGCTAGGACGAAGGAGATGTTATTGGGGCCTGCTCGAGGCAATCGACGAATAACAGGATGGTCGTGATCGTCGTGATTCCAATATTCCAGTACTGTCAGGCAATACAGTACAAATCAACACTTCTATAAATGGTAGCTTGGTCAGGACAGAAAAAGTAAATCAGCAATTAATGTATACCAGCAATAGAGGCTTATAAATAATATTCTAAAATAACAAACCTTAGTTATTGTGAGAATAGCCCCAAAGTGATCAATGTCATATATGTTCTAAGTAGAAGAAATACTTCTTAGTAATATTAACTAACTACAAGGAAAGAAGAGACACAAGAAATTTTGCAGCATGATTGTTAGTATGTGTGAACACTTCCATCCATGCATGCTTTCTTCAGCTTTCTCCAATGATCGCAGCCAGAGGATCTAGTGTATAATGTCACAAGAACAGGAACAATGACAGAGACAAGAGAGATTATGTTCAGCACAAGGACCCTTCATATTGCCTTTTCATGGAGACATCCATTTCCCTCCCCTAGGCCCCCTTTCCTTTTTAACTCCTGGCTCTACTCTCAGGTATCATTCTTGGTAGTTCTCAGGGGACCATATGGGTTGCTAGAGATCCAATCCGGGCTAGCTACATGCAAGCAAAGTGCCTTACCCACTGTACTGTCACCAGTTCCCAAGGCCCCACTCTACTTAACTCCTGACCACTGCTAACCTACCCTAATTCTATTATTTTATCATTTCAAGAATTTTATGCAAATAAAACATTTGCTTTATAGTATTTTGGAATTAACTTTTCTTAATCTAGAAAGTTCTCTGCAGAGTTTTCCAAGATTCTGTGCATATTCCTGTGTATTAATTTCTTTTTATTGTTTAGTATTGCCTGGTTGGATAGACTAAAGTTTGTTTAGTTTGAGTAAACTCAAACTTTAGGAATCAAAAGAGCTATGCTTGAAGTATCATGCTTCACTCAAGTGAGAGAAAGAATCCGGAGTTCCGACCTCCATCGATGATTAAGAATCTGGGACGCTGACTCTTTTGCCAACGCATTGAAAATCAGATGATCTGGACATGTAATGGAATTTGGAGATGACCACTGGACTAGAGCCATTACTGACTGGATTCCACGGGATGTCAAAAGATCGCATGGCTGCCCAACTACAAGATGGTCAGACTTCTTCGTTAAGACCCTGAAAAATCAGTTTGAGTCTCTTTGTGTTTCTGAAGCGAGCAGATACCATTGGTCTACAGTAGCACAAGACAGGGACAGATGGAGATGTTACTGGTGCCTACTCGAGCAAATCGATGAGTAACGGGATGTCAAGTGATCAAGTGATCAATCTTTCTTTAGAAACAGCAGTGGTTTTAGTAGTTTCTAGGTATGGCTAATGAAAATAAATCTGCTATCAACATTTGTATACAAGTTTTTATGTGGACATACATTTCCAGTTATGTGGGATGCATGTTCAGGCATGCAATTTCTGGGCAATATGGTAGTTTCATGCTTAGTTTTTTAAAGAAACCACCAAATTTTTAGAAGTAAGAAACATATAGTGAATAAGAAATATTTACCAAGCAGTCAATCAGTTAAAAGTACATTTGGAGATTTAACTAAATGCTTGTACCAGGCTAGAACATAAAGAACACAACATAGAGTGGTGTAGTGAAGAGTGAACTATTGAATTATAGTATTTTTGAAAAGCCAGTTCCCAGTACTAGAATCTTCATCTAATAAACATTTATTCTAATTTTCTAATTACATTGTACACACGCTTTTCATATGTTTTAATATTCATATTTCTTTTGTCAGATTATACTGTGTTTTAAAAAAGAGTGATTTCTGATTTGTAGTGAAAAACTTGCCCTAGGTATTAGGTTACTAGTAGTGCCAAGAAGGGGAACTTTTGGGTGGAGAAAAAGCACATGCAAAGCCAAATGACAGGAGGGAGCATGGGGGATTCCCAGGTTAGAGAGGAAGCCAGCATGGTCAGAGTGAAGTAAGGTGGGTGTGGTATGAGATATGCTAGACAGGCAGGTGAAAAACATAAAGCAAGACTGGGACCGTTTCAGACCTTGATGAACACCCCTAGATTCGTGGGAATTCTGCCACTGACGTGATTAGGATCTTCATGAAGGTAGAGGCATTGGAAATGGCTCGGTCAGGTTTGCATTTTTAAGGCATCACTCAACTCTGCTCCCTTGCTAAGATTAGGCAGGAAGGCCAGGGGTGGTTGCAGTTCCACAAATTCTTAGCTCTGTTTCCTTAAGGAACCAAGAGCAACCGGAAGGAACTTCAGAGAAAAATCAGGATCAGAAGAATCAAATCATCACCATCTATTCCTGTAGCAGTCTACTGGATTCTAGATAATGGAATAGAAAACATCCTGGCATCTAAACACAGCTCTGCCTTTTACTAAGTGTTCGGTTTGGAGTCATTCAATGCACTTGCTGGTTGAGTGACCTGGAATAGAGCGAATAACATTTACCTTTCTCCAGATCTGTGAGAATAAAAATGAAACGAGCATGAACTTTAGAATATATGAGCAATGCATATCCCCAGGGAGTTAGTATAGGAAGAGACAACATGAGGATGCACTTGGATGAATCATGAAATCTTCTGAGTGATACAGTATATATCAATCACAGCAGGTGGGATGAAGGCAATGGGGTAATGGGTAAGATCAACCTTGGAGATTGCTGACCTGAGCTAGCTTACAGGCTGTGGGAAGCCTGACAAGAGTTTCCAGAATTATGAGGTGATCAAAGTTGTTCTAGATGGAGATGAGTGGGATGGTGATATGGATGAGGAGTTGACAGTGAAGGGGAGACTACTGTGCAGTGTCCAGGAGTGAGCAGGAATGGTGGATTACTGGAGCTAGAGGCATTTCTTTCTTTTAATTAATTAATTAATTAATTGAATCACTGTGGGAAGAGTTACAAAACTTTCAGGGTTAAGTCTCGGTCATACAATGATCAAACACCTTTCCCTTCACCAGTACTTATTTTTCACCACCAAGAAATCCAATATAACCCCCTCCCACCCCTCCCAATGCCTGTGAGGCAGATGGTTTCTACTTAACTCTCTATCTACTTTGATTACATTCATCACTTCCACAAAAGATGGGCCATTATTGTTTAGAGTTTCCACCCAACAATCAGAACTACTGAAAAGGCATAGTGAAATAATTTGTTTTCTATAGCTGGTTATGAGGACCATATGATGTCGCACAGCCACAACAGCAGCCACGCAATTTTAGATTTCTGATATTTTACTAGGTAAGTCTGGAGGGATTTCTGCCAAGAGCCAGATAATTACGAGATTGGTTTCTGTGACTCTGGAGTCATGGCCGTGCCGGAGAGCCACTCGTGGGGGTCAACTTGTGACCTCAGTAGGGCATGAAGGACGAGCCAGCCGGGAACGCCCCCCCTTCCCATGAGGTTACAGTTGCCCCGTCACCGCCGGCTCATACCTGGCTTTCCAATAAGCTCTGAGGCGGCAGTCACCCTGCTGCCGGGGGGTGGGGGGGGGAGGGCGGGGGAGTGGTGGTGGTGGGAGGAGGCAGAAAGGAGCAATACCCTTTCCCTCCTGGAAGGCATGGTACCATGGATTAATGCATAGTCCATTCACTTTTTTGCCACAAGCTGCAGGGCTCTGCATTAAGTCCTTGTGCCTCTGGAGCCATGGCTGTGCCAGAGAGCTGCTCGTGGGGGACAACTTGTGACCTCGGTAGGGCGTGAAGCGCTAGAGGCATTTCTGAGATAGGTTCTGGACACTGACACAGGATAGACAGAGAAGGCAGCCAGGGAAACTCCCCAGGTTTCAGCTGAGGTAATGTTAACTAGGAATAATGATACTATTAAACTTATCATAGGAAATGGAACAGAAAGTAAAGGGCATTATTAAGTGAGATGCATGGCCTTATCCACATTACAAAGATGAAGGCTCTGAATGCTGATACGGCAACCAAG